ATCTCTCTCTCTCTCTCTCTCTCTCTCTCTCTCTCTCTCTCAAAAGATGATGCGAATTTCTACCTCATTTCATTCATCAACAGCTGCTGCATTTATTACAGCAATGTACGATATATATAATCTCACTTGTGGGCCCAGACAATGACCAATTAACAAAAACAAGAAAATGACTAAACTGCCCTTATACCCTATTCCCCATATCAGCTTGCATGCATTCAAATTTCCAAGCATTGGTACCTTCCAATTTTTACTCTAGGACTCACAATTCATAAGCCATGGAACTCCACAACACACATTAATTCTTTGATTGCATGGAAGAGCCACATTAATTCTTTGATTGCATGGAACACCTTGGAACTAAACACCAATAACTCACTTTGACTTCACCTTTAGCCACTCTCCATCCTAGATTCCTTGCTTAAACCCAAAATACCCCATGAATGACAAATTACAAAGGATTCCCACAACAAGTAAAACAATTCCAGATTTGACCAATGTAACAAATTCAATAAATGACAATTTAGTCCCGGCTTCTCCTTATGCAATTTGCATCATCCTCCAGGGTTGAAGAGGACTCAGCTTTGTTGGGTCACAATCTCCATGATACTTTAAGAAGTCATGTACATTTAACATTGGGGAGATACTCCATCCCCTTGGCAACTCCACCTCATACTCATTGTCATTGATCTTCTTGATCTTGTATACGCCAATCTTTTGTGCTTTGAGCTTGCCATAGATGCCAACTGGAAATTGCTCCAATCTGAGGAATACGAGATCTGCGACACTGAACAGTTGCACTTGCCAATATCGATTTATGACATAGTGATACTTGTCGTAGTACTCTACAATGTTGAAACTTATCAGATATGATCAGCACAACATGGTTTCTTTACTGAGCAGATCTAACGGGCTATATTCCTGATATAGTTGTTAGATCATGTACCAAAAAAACATGGCACAATAAACACTTATTCGTATTTGTCTTTGATAGATTATCTATAATTATATAAGCACACAAGCAAACCACTAACCAAATCAAATGACATGTCATCAAGCTTTTTTAACGGGTCTTTGTAGCGAGGTTGTTTCTTCCACACGCAAGCTCTAAGCATTCCTGGGTTGATCAATGTATGCTTGGTGCCCAGAGCTAGAAAACACTCATAGATCTAGCACCAAAAATAGTAAGAAGCAAATAGTAAAAAGCCAAAAAATTTGTAAAGCTATAAATATAAGACTATAAAGACAATGAGAATTACATGTAGTAAGATTGTTGACCCACTAAAATGGATCGTTTCCTCACCTGCAATCTTAGATAAGGAACGGTATAAGAAGGCAAGCACCGCAGCACCCCATGCATATTTCTCCACCTCATCGAAATCTCGAAACAATTGCAAGTAAATTGTAAACATCGAACCTTTAGATGAGTCGACACAACTATATTTGTTGATTCATCTAAATGATCGACGCTTACAATTTACTTGCAATTGTTTAGAGATTTCGCAGATGCAGGAAAGTATGCATGGGGTGTTGGCGCACTGTCCTTCTTGTATTGTTTCTTATCTAAGGTCGTGGGCAAGAAAATGATGCATTTTAGTGGGTCAGCAACCTTTTGGTGGGTCAGCAACCTTACTATAAGTAATTCTCACTATTTTTATAGTCTATAGTTATAGCTTTACAATTTCTTTGGCTTCTTAATATTTTTGGTGCAACGTTGGATTTATGAGCATTTTCTAGCTCTAGGCACCAAGCGTACATTGATCAACCCAAGAATTGCCTAAAGCTTGCGTGTGGAAGAAACAACCACGCCACAAAGATTTGTTAAAAAAGTTTGATGACATCTCATTTAATTTGGTTAGTGATTTGCTCGTGTGCTTATATAATTGTAGTTAATCTATCAAAGGCAATTACGAATAAGTGTTTATTGTGCCATGTTTGTTTTGTAGGCGATCTGCCAACCATATCAGGAGTACAACCCGTTAGATCAGCTCAGTAAAGAAACCACGTCGTGCCTACCATACATGATAATTTTCAACATCACAAAGTACTGGATGACAGATCGTGTGCTGCGACAATTTGGGAAGGTGCAAGGGATTCCTGTTGAGCCTCCCAAATGGGATAGGAGGGAGACTATCGGTATACACCCCACAAGTTGGATTGAAGAGTTGAGCAGACAGATAAGTGATTGGCGGCAACGAGAACGTAATGTTGTCAAGGCAACTGTGTATAAATATGGTGGAATACCTACAGAAGAGTACATAACCTGGTACGGGTTTACCACAGATATAGAAATATCCCCATGTGCCCCCACTCACGGCCACAATCACGTGTACAATCCTCCATAGGTCACGATGACGACAGGAGATTAGTATACTAATTAATTTGTGTATTTTTTTATTGACTTAATATGTATTCAAACTAATGGTCTATTATTTTTTTTTTGTCTACTTACAGCAATTAACCTGTATAGAGATGCTATAAGCTACACTTAATGGAGAAGTATTAACAGGGGAATCCAGAAGTTATGTACAAACCCCCTATGATTTTCTATTGAAGAACGCTTCTGTAGAGACAGGTGCTAAGGAGATGGTGCTGGGCGATGGTGAAGATGAGGAAAGCGAGAGCGAGGAGGAAGATGGCGAAGAGGAAGGAAGCGACAGCAAGGAGGGAAGTGAAAGCGAGGACGGAGATAGTGGAGAGGAGGAAAATGAGACCGAGGAGGGAGATGCTGGAGATGTGGAAAGCGAAAGCGAGGGGGGAGATGGTGGAGATGAGGAAAGGGAGAGCGAGGAGGATAATGAGAGATGAACAAAGAGATGACCAGTTTGAAGTACACATCCATGTGTTGGCCTTGCATGAGGAATCAAGGTGGAATTTAAGATCGCGAAGAGAGAGGGATGCCCAGAAGGGAATGACTATGGAGAAACATGATGTGAAGGGAAAGGGTATTCCTAGCTGGCCTAAAAAATGGCTAAGCCAGAGAAAGTGACTAACATGTAATTTGGAGTTTGATATGTACTTTTGAAACATTGTTTTAGTTTGATATGGCTTCATACAAACCATTTTTCATTAAAAGTGCTTTTTAATTGAGCACTTCTAAGAAATATGCACCAAGTGGTCAAATGGTCAGGTATTTGGATACTATAAGAACTATATATAAGCATAACAAAAAAAGTGTTCTCCTAATAACAAAAAATCTAGAATAGCCTCACCCATCTCATTTCTTTCACCAGACCCATATCCCTTAGCTACCCCTTCATATCCTCTACTACCCTTCTTCGCATGTCCATTTCTTTCACCAGACCCATATCCCTGAGGTACCCCTTCATATCCTCTACTACCCTTCCTTGCATGTCCATTTAAGTCCCCTCCTAAAAGAATCTGCTCTCCATTGGTATGTCGCACTAGTCCATCCATGTCCTCCCAAAGTTGCCTCTTAATTTTATACTTTAGTCCTGCTTGTGGTGCTTATGCACTAATTACATTACTTATCTCTTCTCCTAATATAGGTTTAATTAATAGGAGCCTATCACCTACTCTCTTGACATTAACTACTTTATCTTTTAAATCTTTTTCTACTATTATGCCTACGCCATTTTTATTATTATCCTTTCCGATGTACTAAAGTTTATACATATCTATTTCCTTAGCTTTTTCTCTTTCCACATAGTTTCCTATAGACAAACTATGTTTACTCTCTTT